ATGAATAATCACAAGCATCTGCCTGTCAGAACTCACCCCCACCAACTATAGATATGTCCTCTGGGATGTCATCATAGGAAGATACATAACCATATCAATCAACGCATCTACTACAAACCCACTCTAGAATAGATTGCACTAGAAACACACAAGTATCACATACACATCACAATGCTACACCTCTGCATGTGGGGCCTCCGGTCTCGTCTATTCCATTCTGCCCTCAGGTCCAGGTTTAGTACAGCCCAGTTCTCCTGTTATCTATCACGTTCATGATTGGTGTGATGTGTTATGAATCTGTACGGCTTAACACAAAACCGCAAGAGACTTTTCCCACTTTGTTTTATTTCAGTCGTAAGGCCCTGAAGCTGGTGGAGGAGCTTGTTGAGCGTCGGGTTTGTACACACTTGAGGCTTGCACGTGTTAGGGCTAGTACTGTTCCCATCTGGCGCCAACGACGGTAATTTGTACGACGAATTAGGTGTTGTGGCAAGCACTGCTTGTTGCAAGATTGACCAGCAGCGCGAACTCGGTCTGCTGATAAGAGGTGCTGGATGTATGAGATAGCTGTATCGACAGAGTGTGTGAGGGGAAAAATGAGTGGGCTCGTCATTGTTTGAGAGTGCTGGGAAAAGATGGTGTGGGGGTCTTAGCAGTTTCTATTGTCTGCTTGCTAATAACCGGCGTTGCTGTTCTCTGGTGTGAGAAGGAGTCTCGAGCCCAGACGGGGGGGGTGCTGGCCTGCTGCGAGTCGATCCACTGGGTTACCCGCTGTACGGGTGGGGACACGCTGAGTAGCCTGACGGTGGGGTCCTGGCCGCATGCGACCGGAGCAAGTGCGCCTGGGTAGGATTGAGGCCATTCCAGTGAGCTATAGAAGGGTAGTCAACTTTTCATCAGGCAGGTGGCCGTGTGGTTCAGGTTTATTGGTTTGCTCCTGGCGGTGTCAGCGTGTGCAGTACCTCTATTTCTTCGCGTGAAACATTACAGTTTTGGAAGGTTACATGCACCCCAGCCAGATCGACAACCTAGGGTTCTACTCAGGGAACCTGCAACAAGGGGCGGTGTTGCACTAATCGTATCACCGTGCTCGATTGGTAGACCAGAAAAAGCACAGCAGGAATAGGGGAAGCTGTGTGCGGTTGTGTGTTTGGTGTGTGTGTGTGTGTGTTCCGCGCTGTGGTGGTGTGTGTGTTGGCAGAGGCTGCGCAAGCACCCAGGAAGCACGCCGTGCTGCCTTGAAGCCAAGTGGGTGTGGTGACGATGAGAGGGCCAAACCGGTGTAATTGCGCCACTCGGCGCTTCAGGCGGGCAGCCAAGAATATTCTTTTCTCCGGAGATTGCGCTTGACCATCCTCGCGCTCTCTCTAAAACAAGCTGTTAAAAGCCAGGGTGAGGGTCACTGGGACAGTGTCAGAGGACGCCTCCGCAATAGCATGGCAGACATTCGTGATCCACTTCCGATCCGAACTCTCATAATGGTTAGAAGAGTCCAGAATCCGTCTTAGCCATCGATATAGATCATTTGTATCCGTCCTTTCAAAGGTTAGCCAGGCATGCGCTTAGAGGACTCAGAGAGTTTGTGCGCTGGTGCCAGCGCGGAAGTCTCGCCTGGGCTGTTGCTGGTGCTGTATTGGCTGGCTACAATGCAACAGGCATAGCCTGGCAAAGGATTCGTGGTAGTTCTTTGAACGCCTTTTGACACTTGAAATTGATTAAAGTTGCTGTCCAAACTTGAGGTCTGTCAATGGAGTACGCTCTTAACACAGTTGGATATACTGAACACCATTGATGCTGATTGGGTTTGTGACGCGGAAAAGGAGAACGTGGAGTCGTCGTCCTTGCGGGTTTCTCGCGGGGATGGCCCTGGGGTCACTGGCACTTGAACCTCTGAGCCAGGCCAGTTGACACACACGCTAAACTGTTCCAGTTTGACTTGAATGAAAGACGAACTGTAGGGCCGAGTTCGGGAAAACCAAGGCGCCTTGTGAAAACTACACTAGTCCCAGCGTGGTGGTGATCGATGGCAGAAATACACGTTAGCACAGAGGGGAAGGGGCAGGAGGACGAGAGAGTTCATGGCTAACTCGCCAAGCTGGCTAACTGTACTGTTAGCTACGCGGGATACTTTCAAGTTAACTCGATGTACGACAACATATCTGGCGGGTTAAAAGGGACACAGGGCCCTGTTACTAAAAGGAGAGGGCGTATGATGCGTTGTTGAGCACGGAGAAGCGTGTGGCCAGCGCAGCGGGGTGGGCGGGCGTGAGGGGTGTGGAGGCATCAGGAGGTCTTTAGAGCGTCCGGTTCGTCCGACAAAGGGATCTCCTCGGTGCTGGTCATGTGCATACAAAGATGTCCTGAAACCCCATATTTTGCCTCATAAGCTGAATGCACGATGAGTGAGTTACGTTTTTTGTTTGTGAATGAGCGTTTGCCTTCCCATTGTATTCAAATGGTATTTTAACTGGGTGAGTGTGGCATGATAGTGGTCCACCGGCTTTGATGGTCGAAAGACTGAGCAACGGCGCAAGTGATAAGTCCCATTTAGTGTATCGTTTAAACTACTGTAGTGTGTATTAATTGCTTGTCAATTGAAATACTATACAAAATTTAACTGGGTTTTGGTTGAGCTAGAGCAGCAAACATAAAACGAAGCACTCAACTGGAAATTATATTACAGATGCTCATAACCACCTATTCCTCATGTGCTCTTTGTGCCACAGGAGGAGATAAAATCTTCTGTGTTGGATACAGCACCAACATCAGTGATGTATCATGAACTGAAACCACCTCTCTTTTCCCGTGTCTCCCAGACAGGAAATGTAACCCAAGCCTTCTGGGTATCATCGGGC